GTAGAGGCAACAGTTAGTCCTACGTCTGTGTTGGCGCTCCTCCTTGGTTAACCCGTGCCGCCCCACTTGCATGGGTTCAGAATCGGGAGACAGGACCTCACCACTAATCCTGTGTGGTGGACGATGATCGACGTATTCTGGTCCAATCCCCGACCCGACTGGAACCTGCGAAGCTGATCGGTTGGACGGGGCCCATTGCTTCTCCCTCCTTCGCTCTCGGACTCGATTATCCACCCGAATAGACAAGGCTACCAAGCTGTCCAGGTCACTAGGCTCCGGATAGGAGATCAACTCATCCTTGAGCTGCTCCGACAGACCCTGGTAAAAGGCCGCTTGCAGAGACTCCTCATTCCACCCACTCTCCACAGCCAACGTCTTGAACTCGATCACGAAGTCGGCCACGCTGCGAGTTCCTTGGCGAAGCGAAAACAGGCGCCTAGCTGCGTCCCTCCCTCGGACGGAATGGTCGAAGAGCTTCCTCATCTCGGCCGTGAACCCCTGGTATGAAGCCATGCAGGGGTCCTGTCGTTCCCAAACGGCTGAAGCCCACTCCAGCGCTCGACCACGCAGCAACTCAATCACAAAGGCTATCCTAGCCTTGTCTGTGGCATAAGAGTAGGGCTGTAGATCGAACACTAACCCACACTGCATAAGGAAAGAACGGCATCTGCCCAGCTCCCCCTCATATTTATCCGGCGTCGGAACCTTGGGCTCACGGAAGGACACAGCTCCAGAAGCGGCAGGCGAGATGGGTGAAACCGGTAGTGGATCCTCCACCGGAAACTTGCGCTGGTTCTGGACCTCCGTCAGACCGGTAGAAAGGTTCCGAACTGACAACGCGATCTCCTGTAGTACCGTGCCATGATGGCCCAACATCTTCTCCTGATGGGTAATGGCATGGCGAACAGAGTCCAGGTCCGCTGGGTTCATTACTGGCCGGATCGTTCTGTCACGGTTTACTAAGCCAGAACCCAGAAGCAGACCAGGACAAGGTAAGTGGAAACAAAGGTGAGTGTTTATTTAACTGATCCACGAGTGATGCTGAATAATCCAGGGAACAGAGCGGGTGGCGTGGATGAGTTGTTGAGGGTGCAGTAGTTGGTCCAATGATGGCTCGGCAGCCGCCGACCATCAGGCAGAGGTTGGGTGAAGGTTCCGGACGAGTGACTGCAGGTAGAACAAAACGGAGGTAAGCATACAACAAGCAAACAAGGTGCAAAACAACAAAACTAATGCTCTAAGCTCTAAGACTGATCCGCTGAGAAACATACTGTTCATGGCTAACGATCCGGCAGGGAATGGATGTTAGGACAGAGCCTAAGAAGGGTGATGATCAGGACCAGGTGTGCAGATTGCTGATGGTATGCAGGTGCGGAAATCAAGAGAGCTCCCGCCTAGCAACGTTGCCCGGCAACCAGGCAGGGAGCGTTCCAGAACCCTCGGGAAACTGGAGATCCCGAGCAGAAAACTAGTAACACAGACAGGAACCGACTCAGACTGCAGGGTTCGTTACAGAATAAGGTTTGACCTGCATTTCAATGTGATCCCTTGTCAAAGCTGTGAAACCACTTTCGAAAAGCTAAAGAATGTAAATGCTGATTTCATAACCGAAGAGTGCTTTGGAATGTTTTCATACATGAAGACATTAACTATGAACCCCTCTAAAGAACATCTTCTTCTAATTAATTCACTTAGCCTAACTTGTTTAACCCAAGCAGCTGTCGTCTAATGGTTTTAGCCTTTTTTGGAGTTGTATTCATGTGTGCCCCAACAGACTGCAATCACGACCAAATCATTCATCGTCAGATGCCCTTGTTGTTGTTCTCCGCAAGACTATCCTTAGTCTGTGATGAAGGGCTAACACCAGCTGTGAGTCTTCTCCACTAAAGTGAGATTGACTTCAGTGCTCCTACATCAAGGCTATTCAATTTCGACTTTAATGGACTGAAGTACTGCTGTATTTGGATTTATTTTCTACTTGGTAGTTAAAAGGATAGTTCGGCCAAATAACAAAGTGACATATTAGTTTCCTTACCCTGTAAGCAGTCTATGGACAAGGTAAAATAGCAATCCATGCTTTGGTTTTGTTTACATCTCCAAATGCTAACTTACTTTGCATTCTTGGCCCAAAACCAATGCAAGTCAACATCCCTGATATTAGCATTTTTCGCGTATCATATGTAATACGTGTTAAACATGACCAAGCCCAGAGACATACTGTTAATCTAAATCTTTAGGATGTCTATATCTGTGGGATATACAGTGCCTTGCAAAAATATTCATCCCTCTTGGCGTTTTTTCCTATTTTGTTGCATTACAACCTGTAATTGTAATTATTTTTATTTGGATTTCATGTAATGGACATACAGTGAAATGAAAAAAATCACTTGTTTCAAAAAATTATAGAAAATAAATAACGGAAAAGTGGTGCGTGCATATCTACATTTACATTTACATCATTTAGCAGACGCTCTTATCCAGAGCGACTTACAAATTGGTGCATTCAACTTATGATAGCCAGCTGGACAACCACTTTTTTTTTTATGGGGGGGGGGGGGGGGGGGGGGGTATTCCTTTGCTATGAAGTCACATAATTAGTTAAATAAAGTTCACATGTGTGCAATCTAAGTATAATATATAATAATATGCCATTTAGCAGATGCTTTTATCCAAAGCGACTTACAGTCATGTGTGCATTTTTACGTATGGGTGGTCCCGGGGATCGAACCCACTACCCTGGCGTTACAAGCGCCATGCTCTACCAATTGAGCTACAGAGGACCACGTGTCACATGATCTCAGCATATATACACCTGTTCTGAAAGGCCCCAGAGTCTGCAACACCACTAAGCAAGTGGCACCACCATGCAAGCGGCACCATGAAGACCAACAACCTCTTCAAACAGGTCAGGGACAAAGTTGTGGAGAAGTACAGATCAGGGTTGGGTTATAAAAAAATATCTGAAACTTTGAACATCCCACGGAGCACCATTAAATCCATTATTAAAAAATAGAAAGAATATGACACCACAACAAACCTGCCAAGAGTGGGCCACCCACCAAAACTCACGGACCAGTCAAGGAGGGTATTAATCAGAGAGGCAACAAAGATATCAAAGATAACCCTGAAGGAGCTGCAAAGCTCCACAGCGGAGATTGGAGTATCTGTCCATAGGACCACTTTAAGCCATACACTGCACAGAGCTGGGCTTTACGGAAGAATGGCCAGAAAAAAACCATTGCTTAAAGAACAAAATAAGCAAACACGTTTGGTGTTCGCCAAAAGGCATGTGGGAGACTCTGGTCAGATGAGACTAAAGTTGAGCTTTTTGGCCATCAAGGAAAACGCTACGTCTGACACAAACCCAACACCTCTCATCAACCCGAGAACACCATCCCCACAGTGAAGCATGGTGGTGGCAGTATCATGCTGTGGGGATGGTTTTCATCAGCAGGGACTGGGAAACTGGTCAGAATTGAAGAAATGATAGATGGCACTAAATACAGGGAAATTCTTCAGGGAAACCTGTTTCAGTCTTCCAGAGATTTGAGACTGGGACAGAGGTTCACCTTCCAGCAGGACAATGACCCTAAGCATAATGCTAAAGCAACAGTTTTTTTAAGGGGAAACATTTAAATGTATTGGAATGGCGTAGTCAAATCCCAGACCTCAATCCAATTGAGAATCTGTGGTATGACTTAAAGATTGCTGTACACCAGCGGAACCCATCCAACTTGAAGGAGCTGGAGGAGTTTTGCCTTGAATAATGTGCAACAATCCCAGTGGCTAGATCTGTCAAGCTTATAGAGACATACCCCAAGAGACTTCCAGCTGTTATTGCTGCAAAAGGTGGCTCTACAAAGTATTGACTTTGGGAGGGTGAATAGTTATGCACACTCAAGTTTTCTGTTTTTTTGTCTTATTTCTTGTTTGTTTCACAATAAAATATATTTTGCATCTTCAATGTGGTAGGCATGTTGTGTAAATCAAATGATACAAAACCCCAAAGAATCCATTTTAATTCCAGGTTGTAAGGCAACAAAATAGGAAAAATGCCAAGGGGGGTGAATACTTTCGCAAGCCACTGTAAAGCCTTTTCCACCATTTAGTGCTTTGCATGCAATGCTACTGCACATTAGTTTCCCAGACACAGATTAAGCATACTGCTGGACTAAAACGCATGCTCAATGGAGAATCTCAAAGGTTTAGCGAATGTAGGTTAAATCTAAAGAGTAAACTGACATAATAGAATCTATGTGAAAGGCTTTGAGGAGTTTCTTTGAGCTCAGACTGTTTGACTGACAGACTGACCATTCATTGGTGATCACAATCACTATTGCTCTATGGCTGGCAGCCATCTTGTCACATGACATTCTGAGCATAGTATAGTTGACTAGACTATATCATGAGATTACCTACTGTACCTGTTATAGTGATGACACAGTAGTAACACAATAGCGAACACAACAGTGAGGATACATGGACAAAGATCTTCCTTGCTGACAAGACGGACAAAGTGCAGTTTGCATGGTTCAGGCGTGTCTGAGCTTTGATATTCAGGTAGTCTCGTGTAAAGAGACAAAGTCAAATTCTATCAGATGAAACTTCTCAGAACTCCTCCATACAAGGCAACAAAGTTCCAACTTTTTGCGAAAGCAGATCTGATTTCAAGTTTCGAAATGCTCTTTTGAGGATTTTAAATGACACAATCAATTCATGAAATTCACAGGATCTTTGAAGTGAGCTGCTTCCTTTGTGATGGCTCTAGGTTGTCAGGTTAGGGAATGCATCTAATTATTTTGTGGCTCTACCATCTCCAATGTATGGACCGTTGGACCATCAATGGTTGTTCTGACCATTTTTGTGTAAATTAAGCAATTGTCTTTTGAGGTTGTGTGAATGACAGTTTTGAAAGGGGTTGTTGTGATGAAAAAAGTATATCCTAGATTGCTGCGGCTTCCAGTACGGAATGAAAATGCCAACCTGATGATTAATCAATCATGGTGCCCACGCTTGTGAGATTATATATTCGGCGTCAAACATTCTGTCCATCTCAGAATCAGGCACTCTGTGAAACTTGGCATGAGGTGGCCGACCAACTGTTGATCGACATCTTGTCTCAGAGCTACACAGAATAAAGACAATGTACTTTATTTTTCCTCTCTCTATCTCTATCTCTCTATCTCTCTATCTCTCTATCTCTCTCTCTCTCTCTCTCTCTCTCTCTCTCTCTCTCTCTCTCTCTCTCTCTCTCTCTCTCTCTCTCTCTCTCTCTCTCTCTCTCTCTCTCTCTCTCTCTCTCTCTCTCTCTCCTCTTTTCTTTTTCTCACCTTCCTTCCCTGTCTCTCTATTCCTCCCATCCTCCCACTATCCCCTTCCTAACCAGGTGGTGAAGATGATGATCATTGTGGTGGTGACCTTCGCCCTCTGCTGGCTGCCATACCATGTCTACTTCATTGTGACGGGCCTCAACAAGGCTCTGATGAGGTGGAAGTCCATCCAGCAGGTCTACCTGTCAGTGCTGTGGCTGGCCATGAGCTCCACCATGTATAACCCTATCATCTACTGCTGCCTCAACAGCAGGTAGGATCCAGCACCTTGGTGCTGTTCAGTAGGAACCAAAACATAAGATGAAGATAAGCCTTTCCCATAAATAATTTAGATGTTCTGTTCAAAAATGTTTTCTTCTTTGTGCCTACTGAACACAACCTAGGCAACCACTGGCTAGATAAATAAGACCAGATGAGAAAACTACCAGTGTACCTTCTTTAGAATTCATTAGCCACCTCTCAAATGTGAAATATATCTGACCATGCACTCATTGTATGTCTGTCTGGTTTGGGTTGTGGTTTGGATACAGGTTCCGGGCGGGCTTCAAGCGGGCGTTCTGTTGGTGCCCGTTCGTCCGGGTATCCAGCTATGACGAGCAGGAGTTGCGCAACAACAACACCCGCCACCGATCCGGCCACCAGGGTAGCATGTGCACCCTCTCCCGCGTGAACACCAGGACCAACAGCATCAAAAAGGCCGTCTCCAGCTGCCGTGGCAATGCCGGTGTTAACGGAGATAACAATGGTAACCATGGCAACCTACAGGCGGTAGCTAAGTCCAACCTTTACAGTGACCCCGATGATGTGGCCGACAATCAGTTCTCCTGAGATGTTAATGATGACCACGACCACCTTCTAGAATGTTCACGAGTGGTTTGGAAAGTCGTTGTGAACATTTCACCCTCCGAACTGTCCCTCAAACATTCCAAGCAAGCCTTTAATTATTTTATTTTTTTACCAAACATAAGTATTTCTTGTGAGTTTATTGCAAACGCGGTTGTTCTTTACAAAGTATTTTCTGCTGGCTTGATGCAGTGAGATTCATTCGATTTCTTTGTATTTGCTTAGCTTTCGAAAGCATTTATTTCAGCCTTTTCACATTTCCACACCCCCATCTCACGACACTGACTGGACATCTGGTAGGCTGCTGTCTCGACGGGCAGATTTGTAGGCAGATTTGTGACATCTGGACTAAGCAATGAAGGCAGAGCTTACTAGTAGTTTACCAGTGTGTGTGCGTGCATCTATTACTCACTGGCTATTGCCTCAGGCAGTCTCCCCTTGAAAGATTGTTAGGATGGGTTGGTGGTTGGGCATATATATAACACATAATAATGAAAAGGGAAGATTGTTGCACACAGATTGTTTATTAATGTGTCTTTCTGTACCATAATCATACATCCTTTATCAGCTTGTCGTCAGTTCAGCAGACTGATACCACACAGATGGAAATAGCTGTGGACTGTATGTCCTGAAATGATTAATTTCTTTAGAGAAACAGAGAGGCACCTGGGGCAAGATAGAGCATTCAATGTTTCTCTGTCAGCCTGCAATTTCCTGAGTATAAATGAGAATGATAGGATGTTCCATTTTGTTATTGAAATTTCTCTCATAAGCTGCTTTTATCGTTATAGGAATTGTACAGTGCCATTTCTTTTTTACATTTATGAGATCTATGTCATATGTAAGCAGAGGATTGGTTTTTGCTTTTGTGATATACCGTGGTGTATACTTACTGTGGTTAATGCAATTTTTAGCAGACACACACATGCACACACTCAGACATGCACAGACACATACATACACAGGCACGCACACACACACATTTAGCCATCAACATGAAAATATTTAATGAGGACGTGCTGTGAAGTACTGTGCACTGAGTACTAAAACTAATCATCAAGGGAAATAGTGCAGTATTAAAACACAATCTGAGAGCTTTGTTTGATAAAAACCCACCCATCCATCTCTTTTGAGTCCATGAAGACATTTAATCCAGAGCTGAATCACGCTTCACCATCTGACAGTCCGACAGATGAATCTGGGTTTGGCGGATGCCAGGAGAATGCTATCTGCCCCAATGCATAGTGCCAACTGTAAAGTTTGGTGGAGGAGGAATAATGGTCTGGGGATGTTTTTCATGGTTTGGGCTAGGCCCCTTAGTTCCAGTTAAGGGAAATCTTAAATTCTAGATGATTCTGTGCTTCCAACTTTGTGGCAACAGCTTGTGGAAGGCCCTTTCCTGTTTTAGCATGACAATGCCCCCGTGCACAAAGCGAGGTTCATACAGAAATGGTTTGTCGAGATCGGTGTGGAAGAACTTGACTGGCCTGCACAGAGCCCTGACCTCAACCCCATTGAACACCTTTGGGATGAATTGCGAGCCAGGCCTAATCGCCCAACATCAGTGCTCGACCTCACTAATGCTCTTGTGACTGAATAGAAATATGTCCCTGCAGCAATGTTCCAACATCTAGTGGAAAGCCTTCCCAGAAGAGTGGAAGCTGTTATCGCAGCAAAGGGGGGACCAACTCCATATCAATGCCCATGATTTTGGAATGAGATGTTTGACGAGCAGTGTAGATTTGAACGTTCTTTCTCCATCTTCCTCACATTCCTGTCTCTCTGACTCTGTCTCTCTTTCTCTCTCTCCCTCTCTCTCTCTCTCTCTCTCTCTCTCTCTCACTCTCTCTGCCCCGTATGAATGTACAATAATGCAAAAATATATATTAAAATGTGCGTATATTTGCAAAAACGTAACATCTGTATATACTTTATTTTCAAGGTGAAAAAAAATATAAATAAATGTTGTTTACCTCAATTATAGTGAATATTTTAGGTTTAGCTTCTGTAGTGCATTGTCAAAAATGTTCAGGTCTATGTTGTGCAGTTTGATGGGTGCAGAGTTCAATCACATGTACAAAACAATACCTGTTTTATCTCCATGGCATAGTGTTTACTGGCTTTTTCAAAGACTTTGGAAGGCAGTGTGTGTACTGCAATGTTTAGATGTATTTAAAGAGGCTCACTTACACCAAAATCAAACAACAGCATTTGGATAATATTTGTATTTTCTCATAATTGTCATTTAGTACCAATACATGTATTTTTCATACACAGACAATTGACGTAAAACTCATGCTAGCTTGCATATTCATGAATGTACCCAAGTATATAAATTGTGCAAATAATTGTTAAAACTGCAATTTTTCAACTACAGAATGCGTCTAGTCTATTTCCCTATTCTGGCTACTGTGTGAATATGCATTGATTGAATAAAGGTGTTTGCTGTCCAATGCTTGTGATTTAACACTATCTTCAATCCCTACTTTAAACAGTTGCACTTCCTCATTTTTCAGGGTGTTTATTGTTCACTTGATTTATTTACTGTTCATGAAAAGACAGCAACATGGGTGATGATGTTTCTCCAAACTGCTCCAAAATGACATATCTGAGAGGACCATTTCTCTCAAGTGGACTGTGAAGAACTACATAGTTCTGCAAGTGGCCCTCAACAAGCTCTCCCCTATAATCATTGCTCACGCTGTAGTGGCCTTCAACAAGCTCTCCCCTATAATCATTGCTTACGCTGTAGTGGCCTTCAACAAGCTCTCCCCTATAATCATTGTTCACGCTGTAGTGGCCCTCAACAAGCTCTCCCCTATAATCATTGCTCACGCTGTAGTGGCCTTCAACAAGCTCTCCCCTATAATCATTGCTTACGCTGTAGTGGCCTTCAACAAGCTCTCCCCTATAATCATTGCTCACGCTGTAGTGGCCCTCAACAAGCTCTCCCCTATAATCATTGCTCACGCTGTAGTGGCCTTCAACAAGCTCTCCCCTATAATCATTGATCACGCTATAGAGGCCCTCAACAAGCTCTCCCCTACACTCATAAACCACTAGAGAGTGTCAGTGTGTCATCCATGATTACAGCCTGATGTTGGGTATGCTTCTATCTCTCCATCTGGAGACAGATTGGCATTGCTGCACAGGAAAAGGAAAGGGAAAGGGGGATACCTAGTCAGTTGAACTGAAATGTGTCTTCAGTGGTCTCATCAAGTTCTTCTGACTGTGTGGATGAATGATGAGTGTGTCTCAGTGGTTTTCAAATAGCAACTTTTTGTCCCTATTAAGTTGGATGAAGGGACTGAAAATATGAAACCCACATACAGTCTGGTACAGTCTGGTATAGTGTGTGTGTGTGTGTGTGTGTGTGTGTGTGTGTGTGTGTGTGTGTGTGTGTGTGTGTGTGTGTGTGTGTGTGTGTGTGTGCATGTTTATGTGCCTGCTGTTAGTCTCTGTGTGTGCGCATGTCTGCAAACTCGTCTGTGTACAAATGTTCCTGCAATAATTCAGTAAATCGGTGGTGCTATCTGAACATCCGCACAGTCGTCACCACATATTGACCTCCTCTCAGGCTGAGCATTCCTCAGACAGGAAAAGACAGCTGTTAAAACAGAGGAGTCTCATCTGGCTCTGTACCTCCTCCTATTGGGTCACTTCCATGTGTCAATGTAATTTACTTTTTTACCCCTCTGGAAGAAATAGTGCCCTAGAGAAACAGTGTCACAGAGAAATAGTACCCCAGAAAAAACAATGTCACGTACAAATAGTGCCCCAGAGAAACAGTCATGGACAAATAGAGAACTAGTGTCTTGGAGAAAAAGTGTGGTATCGCCATTTCTATTCAAAACCAGTTTAAAATGCCATGTTGAAAACTCAGGTCACAAACGTACTGGAAATGTGTGAAGTGTAAATTTAGAGGAATAAAAGCCAAAAAATGTCATAATAGTTTTTTTTTATTCGCCACTGTTCGCCCCACCGCCTTTGTTATTGTTTTGTTCATGAAAGGAAGGATAAACGGTGGAGAGGAGCGTCTGTGAAGCTGGTAAAAAAAAATGTGCAGTACATATTCTGCTGTTATTGCGTGTGAAATGTAACTTCTTGTAATATCCAAAACGGGTGCGGCTGTTTCACCAATTAAGGATTCCAGCTTTAAAGGCCCAGTGCAGTCAAAATTCAGTTTTGTATCATATTGTGCAACAGCTGATTAAACTAACACTGTAAAAGTGTGAACCTTCTTGTCACGCTCGTTGTTGAACGGGTCAGACCGAGGCGCAGCGTGATATGCATACATGTTTATTTAACCGAATAAACCACGACAAAACAACAAACTAAACGAAACGTGAAGTCCAAGGTACACAAACAACATACCTCACACGGAACAAGATCCCACAACAGCAGGAACGGGCCGGACTGGACTGGCGACACGCACCACTTGCTTGGTGCGAGGAGCGGGACTGGGTTCCTTTATTAACCCCCGCTCCTTCTGCTGCCTAACCAGCTCCTCTCGCCGTGCCTCTACACCTTCCTTCTGCTCCCTCTGAACCAATAGCCCCCGTAATCTGGTGGCCTCCTCTCCTAACCAGCAGATCCGCCCTTTCGCGGCCTACTGCTGCCTCGTCGTCCACACCGTGTGCCCCCCCAAAAAAAGTTATTGGGATTGCCTCTCCACCCTGATCAGGGCCTCCATCTTTCTTGCCAGATCCTCTGTCATCTCCTGCCAAGTCCATCCTCTCTGCTCCTCCTCGGCACACTGCTTGGTCCAGGTCTGGTGGGATCTTCTGTCACGTATCGTTAGTTTATTGTTTTGTCGTTGTGTTTATTCGTTTAATAAACATGTTGGCATATCACGCTGCGCCTTGGTCCGTCCCGTTTATGAACAAATGTGACACTTCTAATCAGCAGGTTTTGCAAGGGTGGAATTTCGGCTTGCTTGGAGACATCACCAAATGGTAAGTAAATGAAGTTGCAAAAGAGAGTTGCAAACCTCTCTGCCAATAACAGATAGTTTTCAGTTTTCAGGTGCTCTCTCTGTCCCCACAAAGAACACTCCCAGACGGTCCTAGCAAAATTCTTGGTGAGAATTGTTTGTTGCTAAAAAGCTATTTTTGTTCATTTTTGACCATTTTAGTAGAAAACTATTACAGTAAGGTGGGCTACTTAATTGTTATTTAATATTGATATTAAAACGACAGCATTGGGCCTTTAACTTTAAATACATTGTGATCCTGACTCACTCACTGCTTTGTTGATGTACCAAGTTTTTTTTTTTTAAAGGATGTTGAGGAAACAGGAAATGTTATGACACTAATTCTTCTTCGGAAAATACCACACACACTCACACACACACAACCAACATGTACGCATGCGCGCACACACACAATCAATAATAACAAGAGGCAGGGTGAAGCCGTTGCTGTTATCGAGATGTCACAGAGAATCAAACTTTATTAGGAGGTCCCAGCAACTTAAAGCTTGGGCATGTGATTTATTTTACCCCAGCAGGACATTGATTCATCAGTTACACTTTATTTTACAATCCACTGTTTACCTGATATTTACTAAGAAATGACATTCGGAAGTGGTTATTACATCATATTTAGTAATCAATGACTCTTTTAAAATTAATTTAGATAAGCACCACTGGGTATTGTTTGGAACCATGTAGTTACCAGTTGTTCTCTGAGGTACCAGAAAGCACCTATTGTTACCTCGTCATTTTCAAATAAATACCTACAGACGAACTCAACACACGAACAAGACACTTCCTGGAAACCTGGATACAAACTAATGTTTTGCTTAGAATTACATTTTATATAATAATAATATATAATATTATATTACATTTTATATGCTGACTGGTGTTGTTCAGCAGTCAGCATTGCCAACAATAACAACACACGTTCACATACTTTCATTCCTTCTTTTGAGAAGAAAAACTTGACAAACGTCATGGTCAAAACATATTGTAGCGAACATTGGCGAGTTCTGTCCATAATAAAGAGCTACTCTGCTTTCTTGACATCGCTATTTTGTCTCACCAGGACTACTGTCAAGTCATATGGTCAAGTCCCACAAAGAAGGACAATTACAGTTGGCCCAGAAGAGATCAGCACAGCTGGCCCTTCGATGTACACGGAGAGCCAGCATTGATAATATGCATGTCAATCTCTCCTGGCTCAGGGTGGAGGAGAGATTGACTGCATCACTGCTTGTCTTTGTGAGAGGTATTGAAATCTTTTTGATTTTTTGTTTTTTTGTTTTTTGTTGGTGGCATGTCTTGTTGAAATGCTCGAGCTGTCCGTTTAAGCGACTAGCGCACAGCTCAGACTCCAATACATGCCCCACAAGACATGCCACCAGAGGTCTCTTCACAGTCCCCAAATCCAGAACAGACTATGGGAAACACACAGTACTACAAAGAGCCATGACTACATGGAACTCTATTCCACATCATGTAACTCAGTCAAGCAGTAAAATCAGATTTAAAAAAACAGATAAAACAACAACTTATCGAACAGCGCGGAGTGTGATGAAACACACATAGGCACACACACAGCATTCTCAAACACATGCTAACACACCTGCCACTGGCACTGAGTAAAGCCTGTGTGTCTTTGTATGATGATGACTGAACACTGTACACACATACATTTTAATATTTTTATTTTGCTGTATTATTGATTTTGTACTGTAGATATGTTATGGTAGAGTAGCGTGTAATATAGTTTTATTGTATGTTATTGTGATTGAACCCCAGGAAGAGTAGCTGCTGCCTTGGCAACAACTAATGGGGATCCGGAATAACTACAAATGCAAATGTCTGTGCATTAGTAGCTAAGCTACATACATGCAATTGTGTGAGTGTGTGTGTGTGTGTGTGTGTGTGTGTGTGTGTGTGTGTGTGTGTGTGTGTGTGTGTGTGTGTGTGTGTGTGTGTGTGTGTGTGTGTGTGCATGTACACCTTCATTTTGTTAGAGATCAGTCCCGATGGTCAGGAAAACAGAGAAATGCAGCCTTTGCTCAGCAACCTGTTAGAGGAGCCTTCAGAGGTTAAAGAAGACCTGGTGTGAGAGATAAAAAGAGAGAGAGAGAGAGAGAGAGAGAGAGAGAGAGAGAGAGAGAGAGAGAGAGCAGGGGGTGGAAGGGGGTTAATTAATTTCCAATCAGCAAGATTGCTGTTCATGCTGAACAGAGTTGAGTCTGAACATTTCACACACTAGAATCTAAGCCGTGCCTTACCTGGAAAAGAGGTAACAGTCGTGATTGCTGTGAGTCCTTGAGGTTGTCAGAACAATCTCTCTGTACTTCTCCTCATCATCATTGTTCACTACTTCATATACTTCAGCCACCCTAAACACCCCTGTTGGAGATAACAGCTGCTAAATGCTTTCTGAGTCACAAGTGTGGGCATCTACATTGACTACAGTGCAGGAAGTGATGTTGAAAAGGGTCCCATCGTCTAAAGCAGCATCCTCCGAGTCGGCACGATTGGCCTTCGTTGAGGTGAACCTCCCAAATTGCACTTCTGACCCTACTTGTGCCTTATACTTTTTGCTTGACCCACAAAACACAGTTTGGCAGTTATTTGCCTTCAAAAGCCTCATAGCATCCATCAGCAGGAAGTGGAGGGATTTGAAACGGAAGTCACCGTTACAGACATTGACATTCCCACCCTGAGTCTCCACTACATTGTTGAAGTCTTTCGGAAATCCTTTCCCCCATGCCCGTAAACCACCAATGCAGCCGTAAATTCCTTGACACTTCCTGGGATTAACTTTGTACAATGCTTTGCCTCCCATGCAACATGATATTCCATACAGGCATTCAGCTACACTTTCAATAGACCCCCTTCTTTAGAATCTGCTCTCGACATTGAATATATTGGACATCCACTGCATTAGTAGCCATATCCACTTGCTTTACCATAGCAGTAACCTAAAGAATAGAGAGCAGTTAAAAATATTATTTAAACCCAGAGAAATTGGCAAACTACTCAAGTGGGACTCAACTTTTCATAACATTCTAATTTCGCAATTTTGTGCCATCTGACCTTTTATCAATATTTTCCACGACCCTTTGATTTTGGGAAAATATCACTTCTTAGCCTCGTATCACATTTTTTCTCTCAATGAATTTGACCCTTTACACTCAAGGGAATTGGCCTATATGGACAGGGCCAAATTGAAATGTTTCTAACTGAAGAAATATGAGACGCCTATGCATGACCATGGTAAAACTGAAAGGGAACACTTTGGAGATGATGAGGAAATGGTCAGAACAAAGGTGAGGACACAACAGTCCACCTGACACAATACAGAATCCAGATATTTTACTGATGAAAGATGGATTGTGTATGTATGCCATTCAGAAGGTGAATGGGCAAGACAAAAGATTGAAGTGCCTTTAAACGGGGTATGGTAGTAGGTGCCAGGCACACCAGTTTGAGTGTGTCAAGAACTGCAATGCTGCTGGGTTTTTCACGCTCAGCAGTTTCCCATGTATATCAAGAATGGTCCACTACCCAAAGGACATCCAACTTGACACAACTGTGGGCCAGCATCCCTGTAGAACGCTTTCGACACCATGTAGTCCAGGCCCTGATGAATTGAGGCTGTTCTGAGGGCAAAGGGGGGTGCAACTCAAAATTATTAGGAAGGTGTTCCTAATATTGTGTACACTCAGTATATAGTAATATGGCTTGTGGATCATTCTGTGTTAATCTTATGTAGCAGGCAGCAGGGTGTGGCATAGAGGAGAGTATTGATGATAGATAATACAGAGTAGCATAGTTACAACCAGCAAGTGGCTGGCATATTTATTAGAAAAAATAAGTGTACAAGTTTAAACCACGTCAGTTATACCAGGACCTGTGCATATTGATATTAGCACCACAGTTGTAAGGCAAGCTTGACCTCAACTCCTCGTTGCAGAAACCCCCATGTGCTTCAATGAGGCAACACTCAAAAGTCTTTGTTCTTCAATTCTGGTCCAGGGGACACACAGTGTGTGCAGGTTTTAGTTCCAGTCCAGTAGTACTAAAACATCTGATTCAATTAATCAAGGGCTTTATGATCGGTTGATTAGTTGTATCCAGTGAGCCCAGTGTTGGGCTGGAACAAAAGCCTAAACACCATGCATGTTTCCGGGATAAGGATGAAATATTAGCCAAAACATGTGTGGCTCCAGCTGTGATTGAGTCAGTGCAAAAACTTTGTATCTAAGACCTACAGGCTAGTGCTACTGTGATTTTGAGGATGGCTTGAGCTTGGAGAAAGGGCACTCTCTGTCCACATCCCTCATAGGGATGACAGTAATTTCCCCTCACACATATTACACAAGCCAAATATTAAAGAGGTCATACATACTGTATGTCTGGACATTCAGGTTATGAGCCTTACATCATTCATTAAATGTAAATGCTTATCACCCCAATGTATGTAAAGTTGTCTCCAGCTGGAGAAGCTTACTACTTAGGATTATCTAATACATTTAATCAATCATCAAACAATCCTTCCCACCCCATCTCAATGCATATATGCCAAAGGTGGCCTGTCCAACACTCAAAAATACTAAATGTATTGCTTTATTTGATATAAAAACAAGAGGCAAATGGTCTATGAAAACTGGACACCACTCACACTCAATTGTTGTGATACCCAAATTATTGGCAAACGTATACGACATTGTTTTAAAGGTCTTATCTAATCACCATGATCTTTTTTTACAAGAACAATAAAAGAGAATATAATTATGCTAAGAGGGGTTTGACAAGTTTGTGCTTTGTCACCTTTGATGAATATCTATGTGTCTGTGTGCATTGATATTGCATACATTGCCAGTCAAAAGTTTGGACACAACTACTCGTTCAAGGATTTTTCTTTATTTTTATTATTTTCTACATTGTACAATAATAGTGAAGATATCAAAACTATGAAATAACACATATGGAATCATGTAGTAACCAAAAAAGTGTTCAACAAAACAACATATATTTTATATTTGAGATTATTCAAATAGCCACCCTTTGCCTTGATGACAGCTTTGCACACTCTTGACATTCTCTCAACCAGCTTCACCTTGAATGCTTTTTCAACAGTCTTGAAGGAGTTCCCACATATGCTGAGCACTTGTTGGCTGCTTTTCCTTCACTCTGCGGTCCGACTCATCCCAAACCATCTCAATTGGGTTGAGGTCGGTGGATTGTGGAGACCAGGTCATCTGATGCAGCACTCCATCACTCTCCTTCTTGGTAAAATAGCCTGGAGGTGTGTTGGGTCATTGTCCTGTTGAAAAACAAATGATAGTCCCACTAAGCCCAAACCAGATGGGATGGCGTATCGCTGCAGAATGCTGTGGTAGCCATGCTGGTTAAGTGTGCCTTGAATTTTAAATAAATCACAGTGTCACCAGCAAAGCACCCCCACACCATAACACCTCCTCCTCCATGCTTTACGATGGGAACTACACATGTGGAGATCATCTGTTAACCCACACCGCGTCTCACAAAGACACGGCGGTTGGAAAAATCTCAAATTTGGACTCCAGACCAAAGGACAGATTCCCACCGGTCTAATGTCCATTGCTCGTGTTTCTTGGCCCAAGCAGGTCTCTTATTATTATTGGTGTCCTTTAGTAGTGGTTTATTTGCAGCAATTCGACCATGAAGGCCTGATTCACACTGTCTCCTCTGAACAGTTGATGTTGAGATGTGTCTGTGACTTGAACTCTGTGAAGCATTTATTTGGGCTGCAATTTCTGACGCTGGTAACTCTAATGAACTTATCCTCTGCAGCAGAGGTAAATCTGGGTCTTCCATTCCTGTGGCGGTCCTCGTGAGAGCCCGTTTCATCATAGCGCTTGATGATTTTTGCGACTGCGCTTGAAGAAATGTTCAAAGTTCTGAACATTTTCCGTATTGACTGACCTTCATGGACTGTCATTTCTCTTTGCTTATTTGAGCTGTTCTTGCCATAATATGGACTTGGTCTTTTACCAAATAGGGCTTTCTTCTGAATACCTTGTCACGACACAACTGATTGGCTCAAACACATTAAGAAGGAAAAAAATTCCACAAATTAACTTTTAAGAAGGCACACCTGTTAATTGAAATGCATACCAGGTGACTACCTCATGAAGCTGGTTGAGAGAATGCCAAGAGTGTGCAAAGCTGTCATCGAGGCAAAGGGTGGATATTTGAAGATGCTCAAATATAAAATATATTTTTTGGTTACTACATGATTCCATATGTGTTATTTCATAGTTTTGATGTCTTCACTATTATTCTACACTGTAAAAAAAAATGTAAATGAAGAAAAACCCTTGAATGAGTAGGTGTGTCCAAACTTTTGACTGGTAGTGTACATGTTGGTGTGTGTGAGTGTGTTTGTCCTTTTCAATAGACGTGGTAAAGAGGTCAATGAAACTCGACCAAAACAATGGAAATGCCATCGAAACGCATGGGGGGGAAAGATGCTGTTGGGGAATGATCCAGAATCTCCTCTTTGCCCACCAGCAAAATTAGCCTACATTTAGGCTATTGTTTACGTCACACTATGTTGAGGTAAAAATCAGAGTATAATGCTAGTATTGATGTCAACCCCAATACATGTTCATGTCATCATCACCATGAAACTGCATTACAGTTAAAAACGACTTTGTCTACCACCATCGATTTCTCTATGCTATCTATGGTACCAGTTCATACGAATGTGAGTTAGCCTTTAGCAGTCACTTCTTCTAAACCTGAAAAGGGACTACTTCTAAATGTTATGCAGCGAAAACAGAAAAATATATCCAAATCAGACTTAGTAACCACATTGTGGGCATGTTATAATAAATAACAAATTACAATTTGACAAATATCTATTTTGTTAAATCCGATTTGTTCAATGTGCGCTAATCTGCCGTCCTTCTTCTATCCCCCATGGTCTCCATTCCATTGACTTCTTTACCGCATCTATTAGCATTCAAAACTTGTTTATCAGAGATGATCAGTCCTGGTGATCAGGGCGATAGAGAGAGATACAGCCACAAGAACAGACAGACTACTGCCAAGCCATTGAGTAGAGGAGCCTGTGGGGATGATTGATGGAGGACTCATACTTGTAGGAGATCTGGTGAGACAAACAGACAAAGAGAGACTTTAATTCTCCAAAGAATAAGGTAGACATTTTAAAACCACTTGACTCTTGTGTCGTCTACACCTATTTGGTAGTCTAATGTTGTTGTATCTTTTCGAACGGTTACATAGCCTGGCCTCACCTGGGGAAGAGGTAACAGTCGCGGACGCTGTCAATGCTGTGAGTCCTTGAACTTGTCAAAACGATCTCTCTGTACTCGTGATCTTCATTGCTTACACTCTTTACTTCAGCCACCCTAAAGACCTCTGCTGGGGATATCAGCTGATCAATGCTTTCTGAGAAGCAAGTGTAGTTCTCCACGTTGACTACAGTGCAAGAATTGATGTTAAAAAGGCTCCCATTGTCTGTAGCAACTTCCTCCGAGTCGGAACGTTTGGCCTTGGTTGAGGTAAACCTCCCAAATCGCACTTCTGACCCTACTTGTGCCTCATACATTTTAATTGAGCCACGAAACACAGTTTGGCATTTATTTGGCTTCAAAAGCCTCATGGCATCCATCAGCAGGAAGTGAAGGGATTTGAACTGGAAGTTGCCATTATAGACATTGACATTCCCACCTTGATTCTCCACTGCATTGTTGAAATTCTTTCTGAACGCATTTCCCCCATGTCCGTAAGCCACCAATGCAGTCGTGTGTTCCTTGACGCCTCCCGGGATTAACTTTGTACACTGCTTTACCCCCCAGGCAGCACTATACTCTGGACTGCTATTCAGTTCTTCTTTCAGCAGACCCCCTTCCAAAACCTTCTCCAGCATCTGCTCCCGACAGTGAGTGTACTGCTCATCCACGGCATTAGGAGCCATGTCCATTTGCTTTGGCAGAGGAGTCACCTGTAATAGTACAGAGAAATGTTACCTTTTGTAATACAGGTAGTATCACAGTGTAACAATGTATCTTACATACAGTGGGGGAAAAAAGTATTTAGTCAGCCACCAATTGTGCAAGTTCTCCCACTTAAAAAGATGAGAGAGGCCTGTAATTTTCATCATAGGTACACGTCAACTATGACAGACAAAATGAGAAAAAAAAATCCAGAAAATCACATTGTAGGATTTTTAATGAATTTATTTGCAAATTATGGTGGAAAATAAGTATTTGGTCAATAACAAAAGTTTCTCAATACTTTGTTATATACCCTTTGTTGGCAATGACACAGGTTAAACATTTTCTGTAAGTCTTCACAAGGTTTTCACACACTGTTGCTGGTATTTTGGCCCATTCCTCCATGCAGATCTCCTCTAGAGCAGTGATGTTTTGGGCTGTCGCTGGGCAACACGGACTTTCAACTCCCTCCAAAGATTTTCTATTGGGTTGAGATCTGGAGACTGGCTAGGCCACTCCAGGACCTTGAAATGCTTCTTACGAAGCCACTCCTTCGTTGCCCGGGCGGTGTGTTTGGGATCATTGTCATGCTGAAAGACCCAGCCACATTTCATCTTCAATGCCCTTGCTGATGGAAGGAGGTTTTCACTCAAAATCTCACGATACATGGCCCCATTCATTCTTTCCTTTACACGGATCAGTCGTCCTGGTCCCTTTGCAGAAAAACAGCCCCAAAGCATGATGTTTCCACCCCCATGCTTCACAGTAGGTATGGTGTTCTTTGAATGCAACTCAGCATTCTTTGTCCTCCAAACACGACGAGTTGAGTTTTTACCAAAAAGTTATATTTTGGTTTCATCTGACCATATGACATTCTCCCAATCCTCTTCTGGATCATCCAAATGCACTCTAGCAAACTTCAGACGGGCCTGAACATGTACTGGCTTAAGCAGGGGGACACGTCTGGCACTGCAGGATTTGAGTCTCTGGCGGCGTAGTGTGTTACTGATGGTAGGCTTTGTTACTTTGGTCCCAGCTCTCTGCAGGTCATTCACTAGGTCCCCCCGTGTGGTTCTGGGATTTTTGCTCACCGTTCTTGTGATCATTTTGACCCCACGGGGTGAGATCTTGCGTGGAGCCCCAGATCGAGGGAGATTATCAGTGGTCTTGTATGTCTTCCATTTCCTAATAATTGCTCCCACAGTTGATTTCTTCAAACCAAGCTGCTTACCTATTGCAGATTCAGTCTTCCCAGCCTGGTGCAGGTCTACAATTTTGTTTCTGGTGTCCTTTGACAGCTCTTTGGTCTTGGCCATAGTGGAGTTTGGAGTGTGACTGTTTGAGGTTGTGGACAGGTGTCTTTTATTCTGATAACAAGTTCAAACAGGTGCCATTAATACAGGTAACGAGTGGAGGACAGAGGAGCCTCTTAAAGAAAAAGTTACAGGTCTGTGAGAGCCAGAAATCTTGCTTGTTAGTAGGTGACCAAATACTTATTTTCCACCATAATTTGCAAATAAATTCAAAAAAAATCCTACAATGTGATTTTCTGGATTTTTTTTCTCAATTTGTCTGTCATAGTTGACGTGTACCTATGATGAAAATTACAGGCCTCTCTCATCTTTTTAAGTGGGAGAACCTGCACAATTGGTGGCTGACTAAATACTTTTTCCCCCACTGTATAGGCACTTAACAAGTTATGACAGTAACATTCCAATTAGCCAAGTTCAAATTCAAGCATTGGCCAAATTAGCCAACTCTGACCCAAATTTAGGACATTAAGGCCAGTTTCCCAGACCCAGAGTAAGCTTACTCCTTCACTAAAAACATGCTCAATGGAGAGTCCAGGAAAAGGCTCGCTCTAGATCTGGGAAACTGGCCCAGAAGTCTATCTACACAGTATGATGGTTCAATCAATTAAATGTTATGGCAAATGTATACATCTTTTAATGTGTTTGGTCAAAACTCTTACCATGTGAGAGAGCGCAGCAACGAGGATCAATATGAATATCTTCTCTCTCTGGCCCTGCATTTTCCCAGCAATGGCTCCCTCGTCTGTTCTGGTGGTCAATTAATGAGGGATTGAGAGGAGATCAGACAGATCAGAGATGAGAAATGAAATGCAATCAAGAGTAAATTACATAGAATAGAAAATAATCTTAAACATACACACAGACACACATTTACTGTTTGTCTTTCATCAGAAAATGTCCAAGTAATGTTTAACTACACAACTACTGCCCCTGCTCACAGGTATTATTCTGAAAGTTTAAGTATCTACTACACAGATATTTTCAGTGTGGTATGTTCGTAGACTCAAGTGTAAGTAGCCTACAGCTGTTTTAATTAAGTAAATTCTACTATTAATCACTAAAACTATAGGCCTACAATTCACTTTTATAAAAGGCCCTAAAACCTAACAAGCATAACATGGGACAACCAAAAGAATACATGAACTATAAGAATTGGAAATATACCTTCAGAGTAGTGGGGTGCTCTCCTTGGGTAGGATAAATCACAGAATGAGAGAATATCAGTGTGCCTCTCTTCAGGGGCGTTTGCACATATTTTCCACTCACTCCCTGATTACCAAAAATGGAAGGAAACCGAGGCACTTATCTTTTCAGAGCAACTCCTTTTCCTTCCTCCTGACCATAGGATTTTTTCGCATCCTTTTTTTCCCTCATACCATAGTTTGGGTTGGCAATTGGCCAAGTGCAGTTTTACCAAGCCGTGCAATGGTTGATTTGTGGTTTTAGTGTTTTGAGTGGTATTTAGCACTTTTGTACTCCAGGGATTCCAAAACTCGGACCTGGGGTCCCCCCTGGGTGCACATTTTGGTTTTTGCCCTAGCACAACACAGCTGGTTCAAATAACCAATGAATCATTAAGCTTTGATGTTTTTAATCAGCTGGGTAGTGCTGGGTAGTCCTAGGGGTGGCCCAAGGACCGAGTATAGGAAACCCTGTTATACTCCTTCCCAGGTTTGCACTTTATCGACCACTAGAGGGTACAGTGACCAAATCTCCACCCACAGTAATGCAGCCTTCATCCGATGTTTTTTGACATGAAGTACCAACAGGTTCACGAACAGTATGTGAAAAATAGTTCTGTATTCATGTCGATGGATACATTTCCTCCTTACACAATTTACTTAGCAAAACAAGCTTTATTGGGTTACAGATTCATTGCAACAAGCATTGACAAAGAGGTGATTGCACAATTCTGTGTGTGACCAAACAAGCAAACATACGCTTTACGAATAATTACTACAAAGGATACGTTTTGAAATTGTAATACATATTATCCACATATTTGATCAATAGGATAATATTTATGGTCAGGGATTTGTTTAAAATATTGATGTAGCCTAAATCAGGGGTTTTCAAACCTCTCCTCAGGGACCCCCATCCATTTCTTGTATTTTAACTATTCCACAGTTAGCACACCTGATTCAACTAATAATCAAGCCCTTGAATGGGTGAATCAGGTGAGCAAAATTGTGAAACATCTGGGGGTCCCCAAGGAGAGGTTTGAAAGCCACTGGCCTAAATCAATATCATTTATAGGTTCATAAACATAATTATGTAATAATTATACAGTTGGCCTATACTAAATAGTAACAACAAACGTAATAGCCTAAGCATGAATTCTAAATCCAAAAACCATCATACCAGATATATTAGACACTTCCACATCTGTTAGACTAACAGCCATTAAAAATGTTGAAATTGTTGCCAACACTCAGTAGCCCTCTAAGCACAGTCTCAAGGTCTGTAACAGAGTTATACTCTGTAACAACACCCTGAGCTGTGTTAGGACCCAAGGCACCTCCAGACTTGAGAGGGTTGCCGTTGTTGTTGGTGCAGCAGTAGGCATTCCAGTAGTGACTCGGAACATTGACTCGCTGGTTCTGGTCTACCCACGTGCCGCTTGGGACCACCCCTGTCACCACATACATCTTACTACAGCCTACACTCAAAACGTCCTTCAGCTTCTTCTCGTACTGGTTCCATGGCCCCTTGTTCATCGTCCCGTCTTGCGGAGCTACGTTGGTATGGGTCATGGTGGCTTTGGCGGCATCTTGATTACTATGGTGTCCTGCGGGGTTGAGGTGCCCGCGGTCGTACGAGCCAAAGTTGTCATCGAGAGCCTGACTCCAGCCCAGCTTGTAGTTCTGTCGGTATTGTGGAGAGCGTTCATTGCAGCCATTGTTTTGGTTGTATTTCTTGATCTCACTCAAGGATCCTTTCTTATCCATTTGCTGCGATATTAGGTCAGGATGCACAAGCTGAAAAATAAAAATATTTATAAATTAGCCACTCCACTTCAAGCTTTATACAACTCATTATTACATTACTGGTATTCTAGGCTACTGGTAGTTAGTCTGAAATTACAATGTACGAAATTGTACCTTCTAGTGCTTATTGCATAAATACAATCGTTTTCAAACCTGCTCTACAGCTAATGTCCTGTTCTACTGCAAATAGTACACTAAGGTGTTGCATCATTCTGTAGTTGTGCAAGTCACATTAAATGGCTTCTGCACTGAATTTACAGGACATTGAAAAGGTGATAATAAACATTTAAAATGCAAACCTGCGGTTCATAATAAACTATGGACCCCTCTCTGTTGGGGACCCCTTGGATATCCATTTCATAGGCAGAGTACAGAGGGATCCTCCTGGCTCGGTCATACAGAGTGGCAAAGTAATAGTGGTTACCGTTTCTCTGACAGATGTATGCAGGAGAGGCAGCATTGTAAGCAGAGAGACATTGCGCAGGATTCTCTAACCCTTGTGTGTTTGGTTGGGGAGAGCTATATTCAGACCCGACACTGGTGTATTTTTGAAGAAAGAACCTTTGCAGTTGTCGAAATTTGAAGCCACTTCCCCTTTGACCCCCAACAAGGAGAGCAGACAGAGGGACAAGAGGGACAGAGTCACCATGCTGTGCCCCTGTGGAGAAAAACATCACAGATGAACATATATTGCAATGATACCTTTACATTATGACTGTATAAGGTAATAATTAGTCACTAGAATCAACTCAAATCAGGTTATGAAAACCGCCCAAGTTCCTGAAACATTATAGTTCGTCTTTACTGTAGTCTCCTCCCATCTAGAGGTTGACTTCCTGCTTCTTATTTCTGGTCAAAGGTTTCTTAATGATCATGTTGCTGTGCGATTAATTATGCTATAATAATTGACACTGCAAACATATTGTTAATTTGTCAGCAGATACTTTAGAGGTATATTTCCTTAAGTGCATACCTTGATTGCATGACATGAGTATTGTTACTTAAGTTTCCACTAGCCTTTTTCATTTCCATGTTTGAGATAGCTGTTGCTGTGCTCGATACAGAGAACTTTGCACTGTTGCATCGATTTGGAAATAACCATAACAAATTGAATATCCAAATAATTATTTGTTAGATTTTCAATCTCACCTTCTGAACTTGTTTAACAGTCCGTTGAATTGTTTCAATCCCTCAGAGGTCTGTAGCTTCAGAGTAAACACTTCCTCTTACTCGTTATTATATACTGTACTCTCTCTCACACACACACACGCGCTCACACACGCGCACACACACACCTTTTCCTGCAATCTAGAGCCTTAATCATTATGCCTAATTCTATGTAAAAAATGTATACATTTTTCTGTTAGGGATGTGCATGGTTATTTGAATATCCGACCTACAACCCATACACTTATTATGGACACAGCTTGCCTACATTATTAGTTATCTTGTTATTGTTTGTTGTTAGTTGTTATTAGTCCCATCCTTCAATTCCATTCAACACCTCCCATCTATCTTTTAACACCATCCATATAGGATTTCTATTTGCCATATATATTTCAACTGTACTGTGATGTTCTGAACCTTTCTATTCTCATTGTTTCTACAGATTGTGAATTGAAAATAAACATTTTTGCTAATAGTATTATTATGTTATTGATAGATTGACTATGACTTTTCAGATCACCCAGTATGTTTTAACAGACTTGCCAAAAGTACAGTTTGTTAAATAGAAATTTGTGGAGTGCTTGAAAAACTAGTTTTAATGACTCCAACCTAAGTGTATGTAAACTTCTGACTTCAACTGCACCTCTTTACCTGTTCAATTGTCATTTTAATTAATGATGCACATTGATTCTTTAAAAACTTTTATGCCTTAGGAGTTTAGCACATCTGAAAAAAAAAAATTAAACTGGGCAAATCTGAGGGATGCGACTGAAGCATGGGTCTTTTCAAACTCCGAAACAATTTTCACATCAGCATTTAACGTTAGCTGTCATGCATGACACAGCATAAAGTAGACGTAGCAGCCAGTTCCACTGAAATGCGTCTAGGTAGGTGTCGACTGGGTGGTAACGTTTAAAGAATTATCATGTGTGTTAAAATGCGTCAGTATATTGTAGGCTACTTCCCAGAAAGCTGGGCTGCTATTGTCAGTAGATGTTCACTTTCGTTTTCGGCCTTGAGTCAACAAGTAGCCTAATCCAAACTATACATTATGTTTGTTTGTAGGCGTGTTTTCTTTTATGCCCTCAATAAATACCCATGATGCCAGATTTGTAGTTGGGCGCCACAGGC